AGGAGGGCCCGCCCGGCCCTCCTCAGTCCGCCCATGTTGACCCCCAAAATTCCTTTCACTCTCTGAAAAAATCCACCGATCAGAAACCGCGAATAATCCAAATCGTGGATATTCGAGAATCTACTGTGTAGTTCAAAATGAACGATATCTTGTGAGTTTTACAGAAAAGTCAAGTAATTTCATAGGCACAGGTGCTTCGACGATTGGCCGCAAATTAAATGATGAAGGGAATTTTTGTAATGTTCTTCATCTGTCTCCTTTGTATTGCAGGTGTGAGCCACTCGGATATTCTACTCAATCTCTTTCCACTGACTGCTTATTTTCCCAACCGAGTCTTGAGTAAAGAAGAAAATAAAGTCTCGAGCCGAATTCTTGATTTATGGACCGGATTCGCATCCGAGTAAGTTAACATAATTTTTTTTTTTTTTTTTTTTTTTTTTTTTTTTTTTTTTTTTTTTTTTTTTTAACAAGTAAGTTAACATAATACAGTGACGATTCTGGCAATTGGGAGGGCCGGATTTAGGGGGTGGCCACATGGGCCGCGGCCCATGGCGGCAAATTTAGGGGGCGGCCAATTTTGCATTTTTGCAAATGTAGGTATAAAAAAAAATCAGATTCAGAGAACAAATTACAAACGAGAAAAGGCGACAAAATCTCTCATTTCCTGAGAAGAAAGTAATTTCTAATTTTGTCGTCTTTCGGTGATAGGTACAAGAGACAGCAGCAATTGGATTGCATTTTGCAAAAAGGAACCACTAGCATTGCAATGTTGCTAAGATTGTGCAACTTCTTTTGTCTTGGAGGAAAAACCCGATTATCCATTAATAGTTTCTATTTTACTCGCTAAAAACTGTAAATTTAAGACAAAAATTACCATCTAAATTTCATAGTTTTTCACGATTTCCGCAATTTTATTGCAAAAGATGAAGTTGCACAATCTTAGCATCATTGCAATGCTAGGGGTTCCTTTTTGCAAAATGCAATCCAATTGGTCGAGTTAAGAGAGAAACCAAACACGCAATTTGGCCTGGAGCGGCGCGGCGCAGAGAGCAATGATGACGAGGACTTGAGACCAAAAGGAGAAGCCCTCGGCGCGGCGGTCGGCATGTAACGCATATTAGCTCCTACGAGACTGCATGAATACTTCACGCATTACGTCAAACACAGTGCGGCCAGCGTGAAACGCATAGCGCCTACAAAAACGCATGAATACTTCACGCATTGCGTCAAACGTACAATGTGTTCAGCAGCGGTCGGCGTGAAACGTATAACGCCTACAAGACTGTAGGAATACTTCACGCGGTTAGCGTGATTTTTATTGATGTTTCGCAAGACGCATGAGAAGGGGGCGGCAAAATACAGGCGGCCCATGGGCGACAAGTAGGTAAATCCGGCCCTTGCAATTGGCAAAACTGTTTTTTCCATTTAAATTTTTGTAGGATAATTTATATTTACAATGAATTCAAATGGGAAAAAACATGGATGCCAATAATTAAGTGAGGGAAAATTAGACCGCGTTTAGCAGAAAGGGACCGAGCAAAATTTAGCCACCAGCTATCGCCAAATTTAAGAGGGCAATTTCATTTTTTACGACAGAATGTTTGTGTGAATGTCTTTGAAAATTTCAAGGAATTTGCTTCGCTCTATACAGAAAATTCACTGAAATTCGCATACAAATCTGCGCAACCGTTTTAACGTAAAGAATTAAACTGCCCGATTAAAGACAATAGCTGATGTGGCTTGGTTCCTCTCTGCTTGACGCAATCCAATTACACGCGACGACTTGATCAAATCAACTTGGTCAAAGAGGCCACTATGATATCAACATGGTGTCAATTCGTTTTTCCTCCGACATGATATCATCTCTCAAAAACCCTAGCATTAACAAATTGGTAGGTATCAATATGCCAACATATTAATATTACAACGGATCCTAGGATCCACACAAAACGGTAGCATGTTGGTAATTGTTGGTGTCAGACATCTTCATTTATCATAAAATGAGTATGGTTACGATATGGTGGTGATCATGCTTTTTGAAAGTTGGTTTCGAATTGGCTTAAACCTAGTTTTAGCCTTAGTTTTACGTATATTATGATATCTGTCCATTTAACTTGGTAACTTGATGTTAATGGTAATCAATAGAGCAATGATACACTGAAATATGTGATACAACTATTTCGACCGCCGCTGGATAGCTTAAATTGCATAACCTCTGAATTGAAGGATAACTGAGTTTTCTCACTTGCTAGTGCATAAGTACATCTAATTATGTTGAGCTGAGGAGACCCTTAACAACGTGATAAAATTAGTTGGACACCTTCGTGGCTTAAAGACCTCATGAATTTTTCACTTCTTTACTCAGTTTTATTGTCTGGCATGATACATTGCATCTGCCATATTCATTTTACATGATTTGATTTGGTTAATATTCTTTTTTCAGGGTAGCCTGGGGGATCCAGGAACATGATTGGCAGCCAATAAATATGGAAAATCGCATAAGATTTCTCCACATAACACAGGACAAGCCGATAATGAGTGACAACCTTCTGCATGACCGATATCAATTCTGGAAGGCATTAGATTACACACAAGGTGGAAAATTAGCTGTCATAATTTGAAATGGAGTCCAAAAAAGCTTTTCAATATTTTTTGAATTCAGGTCTTTGAGAATCGGACATAATACGTGACAACTCTCTGATTGATCAGGTTCTAAAAAAATTTGGATGGAGAAATTCTGTAGAGAAAATTTTTGGTCAAATTAAATCCTTGAATAAATTATATTCAGTTTCGTCCTCTTATCTTAGCTCAAAGAACCGTTTGACAAAATAATGCATGGAATGGACCACAAATCAATTTAGATTGACTGCCTTGCCGCCTTGCTCTCAAACCCAAGATTACTGGGGTAAATTACATGCTGAACTCGTTTTGGCATGTGGTACCACGAAATTGAAGACTTTAACTGAAGAAAAGCCAAACAAATGTTAGGTTGCTCAATTTTCTCTCTTATTTAATTTTTTTGGCAGAAAATCAAACTACACAATGCCTGAGGACTTTTTGTGAAATTAACCTAAACTATAAAGAATGTACTCACAAAATTTTCAGTTTCAGTGTTACTTGGTTTTCTAGTAAAAAAATAAAATTTCATGGGAAATTAGGCAACAACAGACTGATTCTGTCCAAAAGCAATCACATTTTGACCTCGGTTATTGATTTCTTATTATACATCCCCAGTTTCCCTATGCATAAAGGTGCTTACATGAATGAGTTAGAAAATAGTAGTACCTAATGTAAAATACAGTCCAAATGGATCGAATCAAAAGAAGGGAACCATCTCGAATACAATGTTGTAAAAATTATCTAAAAAAATATAATAATGCTTATACAGCAAAAAGTTTTCATTTTTCTACCAAAAATTGTTGATTTCAAAGGAAAACGATTGTGTAAAATTATTGTAAATGTATTAGGTATTTTTAAAGGAAAGAAGAAGTTACACTTTTTTTAAAATACTGTAATGGAGTTGGTTCCCTTCTGTTAATAAATGCAGTCCAACAAACTATGGTCCATCAAATGTAGTTGGTTGTGATGTTACAACCTCATAATAAATTATTTATTGTCACTCTACTACTTCACTTAGTTTTCGGATGTGAAAAAATGCCTGTTATTTTGATAAATTTCCTCTGGCGTATTCAGCATTCAGACTGCAAACTACCTTCAAGAAAAAGTTGATTTCAATGTAGCCTCTCTCAAAAGCCACAATGTTATCTAAGTAATGATGCAATACAAAAAGTAAGAAGAAAAATGGTGTATCGTGGCCCAAAAACTGTGGATCAGGTAGGAAGATCAAGATCCAGAACAAGAGGTACAGAGATAATAAACATTATATTTACAAAAGAGAACATTGATGAAAAGACATGATGCAAAAAAATACATACATTACCAAGTTTAAACAACTGAAAATAAATTTGATACAATTTCACTTTAGTTCTTTACTTTAAATACATAACAGAGTTAAAAAGAGTGTCTACAAATAAGTTTACAAACAAAAAAGTACATATCACAAAAAAATTAGCCCAGGCCTACCATACATTTTTTCTAGCCCCTCCCCCCCCCCCCNCTACAATTCTAGAAACCAAATAAAACTAATAATTGAAAAATTCGAATTCGGCAAGAGAAGAACGTTTCTGTAATGATATACTCCATACAAGAATTGGATTTAGTTAGATATAACTAAAAAAGAAACATTTTATGTGAATACATTATCAATTAGACTTGGCAGGAAAACAAGATACAAAAATTCAATCTAAGAGGCAGAGGCTGAATCTTGGTGATGAGGACAAATTTTACCGTTTTTTCTTCCTCGCAGAAAAACCAGTTTGCCATGGAGACACAGGGCAGGTAGATCAATTGACATTACGTAATCATTTTGGAGTCCCACTGCTGCTCACAGTCTGTTGGTTTGGGGGTAAAACATAGCCCAGTTTGCGTATCAGCCCTAAACCAGCAGGTGTGGCACACCAAAGAGTTAGGTAACGCCATTTGATGCAAACGCGTTTTCTTCCATGTTAGGAAAGCACATACTGCTTCTTAGAATGGGCAATACATAAGTAATAGCTGAGAAATAGTTACAGAGAGTAATTCAGTCCAAAGAGAGTTGTTTTATTTCATGGTGACTTTCTGCTACTTAATTTCATACCTCCATTTTCCACTTACACTTAAGCAATAGTTCATATTTCAACTATGAAGATGTGAACAAAATATAAGAAGGTATGTATGTATTAAATATTGTAACTAGAGGGATAAAAATAAACTTGAGTGCGTAACTATACTGAAGTTATAATGAAAGGCAAATTTGGACTCACTTCTGCTGGCTAAGATTCATCTCAAATTGATGAATCAAACAGGAGCATTGACTGTTCAATTTGGAATTTAAAAAACGTAAAAAAAATTTATTAAAATGTACAAGTGAGGAAACTCTTTGTTTTTTTGTTTTTTTTTTGTTTTTTGTTTTTTGTTTTTTTTTTTTTTTTTTTTTTTTTTTTTTTTTTTTTTTTTTTGTTTTTTTTTTTTAAAGTAAAATTTATGTTTGCAAAAAGTTATGGGAAAAAATAGGCCTCCAAAATGTTGAGGGGAGCAAGAGCCCATTCACTCTTCAAAGAGGTCTAACATAGTATTGAGCAGCTACATAAAGTCACTCTCTTAGGACTCTCCTTAGCTACACCCATGAGTACCTTCTAATAAAATGAAATCGCGCATTGAGATTCATCAATAATTTAGCGTGGGTTAAAAGTGCCCTACAAATATTTTGTGCGTCTATTTTAAAAGAGCTTCTACCTTCTATCCTTGACAAAAACTAACACAGCATCGCCTTTGCATCTCTTGAGTCACATCATTCTTGCTCGGCAAAGAGGGCGACAACCTTTTAAACATCATACCTAAATGCAAATTTTATTTTAAAATATAGAAAAAGTGGCGATTCTATAGTCAGCCAAAAATTTTCGATTTCACAGACATAGGCGATTTTCCTACTTAAAGGTTCTGTGATATTTTATTCATTATCGTGGTTGACAACAATATTAAGAAAAGTAAACAAACGTCAATAAATCTAAATAAATATTTTACATTATATTGCACAAAATTTCTACTGTCTAAATTAATTCAACAGATGACATGCTAAATTTACGGGCAGGGAAATTGTATAAATAAAAGGAGACACTTAAATAAAATTTGAAAGAAAGAGAACTTTTTTTTCAGTTTTTAGTTAGCATAGTCTCTTTCAAGGATATGAATCGGAATTATTTTGTATTAAGTTTCATGATTTGAAACACAGTCTAAAGTTTTATTTTACCATTTGTTAAAATCTTCTAAAATTTGTGAGATAAAGACAAAGAATCATAACAGCACTGCATTTGATTCAAGACACAAGAAAAACTGCACAGTATCTCTGTTAGTTGCGGCATAATTGCAATTTTGAGGCTCTAGAGCATGTACCAAGCTAAAAAGAGTCTAGAAGTGGTAGCAACTTTTGAACACACAAAGGAACCTCCCCTAGTAAGTAGCATAAATCTTTGTCAACATTCCAAAAGTGGACCATCGGACAGAAAGAAAAAGAATCACTTCGAGGCATGTTTCCAAATCAAATTTTTATGTAGAATGCATTAAACTGTCAACAAGCTCAAAATCAATCAATTTTTAATATAGCTATTTAGAAAATAAAGTATGACAGGAGGTTTGCAACATCACAAACTAAAATTTTACTATCAATATAGTACCCCTAATAAGTGTACCAACGATGTCAATGACTCAATTTTTACATTTTCTTTTTTACTTGATCATATTTCATTTTATTTTGTTGTATTTTAATAATACCCACGAAATTATCAATGGATAAGGGTTGCTTATGAAAACATTTGAGTCCCTTCCTAACTCCATCCCTGGCAATGCCTCAAAATCTGCTCATTGTTTTCTCTTTTAGAAACCACATTGAACAATACTTCATTGGACAAAAATTAAAAGAGGAGGTTTCTTGTACAAATTCATTGTGATACAATTATTTGGCTCATGAGTACAGAAATGTGCACTGACGAAAAATTTAAACTTATAGATTCATAAGAGACAAAATTCAAAACAAAATTTCACGAGATAAAATAAAACCTAGACAAGACACAATTATAAATCACCTAAACTAGATAAAACTTAAACTGAAAGGGAAAAATAAAGATGTGTTTTCCGAAGTCCTATTTGCTAATACATTTAGAGTTCCCTGAAGAAACTAGCAGAATTATGTTTCATGCGTCATCTCAATAAGAAATAATGATTACAAAACGCTTGTATTGCCCTTTGAGCATTACGTCAATGCAACTACAAGAACACAAATCTTGGTTTGCGGCACTGCAGACTTCCTGTCATGATTTACAATAATAATGATCAAACAATATAAATTCGACGTCATTTTCTGAAAACTTTCCTAATTTTTATTATCAATGTGAAGAATACTCAGAGAAAACTTCAAACAATAGGGTTGGTTCTTTTTTCATTAATAAAATAGAATGGAAGCAGAGATTTTGAAGCAAATGAGCTTTGCGTTTTTGTGGTTCCACCATCAACAAACATTTGTTGAAAATTATTTTTAACTGGATATCAGTGGCTTTGAGTGTTAGAGTCGTAACTACATTTTCTTAATTCTTAAGATATCAGGAAAAAACCACCAGACAACTCCTACGTAATTCGATATTTTTGAAGTTTTCCATCTTGTCATTGGTGTTAGATGTTACTACCAAATTATTCACACATTGATGGACAAAGTGGAAAACCATGGATCTCCGTTTGTGACATTGCAGACTTTCAGTCATACTTTAATTTTTCTTTGGAAAACTCAGCAACTTAATTTCTTGAGAGCTTCCTTAAATTTTCTTCTCAAATGGCTGAATATCTTGTAATACGAATTTCAAGCTGTAAATTGACTAGTTTTTCTTCAAACAAATAAAATAGGAGTGGAAATTTTGAGACATCGAAATGGAGATACGCAGTTTTGCACTTCAGCCGTCGAAATAAAAATTAAATACAGAAAAAGAAGAAAGAGAAAAAACGATGCTCCCTATGACCTAAAATGATGTTGAGTATTTAAATTGTTAATTACTTGCGGGAGATGAAAAAAAAATTTCTTGAATTTTTCTCGAAAGATACCGCTATTATCTTGAGGTAAATATGTAGTAGACTCTAAAAAATATCTTTTAAATTTCATTGAGCATTCATTTAAGTCTTATCCATTAGTGCAGAACACAAATCATCAACACGTGAGGTTAAAATTACTTAACTTTTGTTGCAGTGGTATCTTTTGAATAAAGTGACCAGTAACTTCCATCCTTCCAAAGGGGAAGGTTTCTTTTCTTCTAGTCGATTTGAAAAAAATCTGTGAATGTAGAGAAAAAAAGATTGCCTGGTTTTTGAAGTGTGAGCCACTAATAGGCTTTCATAATTTAATCAAACCCACATTAATTCTGAGAGGAGATGTTGCCCAAAAACGCATGTCCCAGTCAAAATTTAATGAGGAAGAATGATTTATATTGAAAGGCGATTTGGAGGAAGTAAATGAATTTAAATTTTATGAAACGTCATTCAAATTGGGATGAGAATTTGAATGCTAATTTTGAAGCATAGATGGTACGCAGTGAAACCTGGCAAAATAATGAGTATACAGACAATAGTAAAGTTAATATACAGAATTGACTCCCATTTTATGGTAAGTCGCATGACTTCACACTCGAAATTATAGCACCAGAGAAAGATAGAAGTGATTAATTTTTTAAAACTGATCATAACTCTCTTCGCATCTTTCTCATCTGGAAAATCCTAATTAAACACTTTTTTGGCCGCAAGATTTTTCAGTACTCAATGGTAAAATACTTCAGGACTTGCCGGCATTTCAAATTGATAGGGACATCTACAAAACCCCGAAAAAAATTAGTTCTTCTCCTGAGAGCAGAAATAATTTAATGTTCTGTTAAAAACCATCAGGAAAAGGTTGGTTTCTTCGTCGCTCGGCTCCCACAGACTGTCATTTGCCTCGTCAGCACTAGATTCTTCTGCTCCGTCCGTCCATTCCTCGCTACTCCTGCTTCCTGCTA